CTAATATAAGTTAGAAAAAACATAAAGATCGTCTGTAAGTAAACATTCCCTGGCTCTGCGTCACATACTCTAATCAGCATCTTCACATTTATTTCTGAAGTATTTCCCTTTGCTCGAGTGAGTATGTTTGGGTGTTTGTCTGGTATCACCGTATGAATCGACAGTTGTATTCCTTCCTAGCCTGAGAAGAAAAGCAGTGGCTTTTCACAGAAATAATGCTTCTACCTTTACTTTCCAAACTCACTGAGCCCCTTCGCGTGCCAACGCTGCAAGCCCACCCGGCCCCAAAGACGAAGGGCAGCGACGAGGAGCAGGCGAGCGAGTTACTTACCAATATCAGGTAGAATAAACAAAAAATGGCCTTAAGACTTCAGTATTAAGCAGGTCAATCAGTTTCTCATAAATGTCTAAGTGACGTTTGAGATTTTTTTTTTCATCAATTGCTATAAGTAAACCATTGCACCTAGGATGGAGCAAGGCAGTTGCACCACTTACCCTAATTTGAAGAGGCCAGTTACGGTCAATCATTGCCGCAGCTGACAAGAGACACGCAAGATGCCAGCTACGCTATTTCTGAATTACTGACGTTAACAGCTGTTTTATATCCAGAGAAACAGCTCTGTAAACATGTAAACAGGTCAGTTAATTAAGATATTACAGTAACATAGATTTTAATAATTTGAGATAATAACAGATAATAATAATAACAGAACAGCCTGCTGTTTACAGATCTGCAGATACTATATGAAAAGTAAAGATACCAGCAAGAGTAGTAAAACATGCTCCTTCAGAGGAAACAGAACAGAAGCTATTTTCCTCCTTCTGTTTGCTGAAAGGCCCCACCTTTTGCTTGCAGAATGAAAAGATTTCAGCCTTCAGCTTTCAGATATTCTAGGAAAGAGATGTATGCCTTCCTTCAAAGGTCAAACCTCTGAAATCTCTCCAGTGGCACCAATCCCAGCGGGATTAAAGTTGCCCCAGAACACACACCTCAGAACCCCTCCATAATACGCTGAATAACACACCAGTCCCAAACACCGATTATTCCCTGGGATGTATCAGAAGGAGGGAAGATTTTGCAGAAAGCAGCTGTCTTGGTCCCAAATTGTCATTTCCACAGCAGCCTCACATTGTGTGCTCTGTTGGGAAAAATCAATGGTGGACTCTCTGCTTCTTTTTCCTGCATGTCCAATAGCTTTTCAGTCCATTTTTCTCTTCATCTTTACATGACAAGATATGAGAGAGCGAGAGAGAGAGATCAAGAACATACATTGAAGAACCAGTAAAGGGGAAGGGTATACCTTCCCTGTTTTAAAGGAGCTCTCTTTTTCTGGGGAAAATGGATCTGCGAAGCTGCCGGCAGCCTAAACAAGGTGGACCCAACCGGTCCAGAGGAAACGGAGAGGACCAAGAATTACCTGGCTTGGCTTCAGAAAGTCAGGTTAAGAGAACTGACGTCTTTGGGGGACATCACCTACTCAGTTGGTCACAGTGACCAAGCGCAGCAGAAACTTCTCAATCCCACTGGGATCCACCAAGGCTGTACCATCAAAAGGAACTCTTGAGAGAAGTAAAATTACAGAAAACATGAAGCGCACTTGGCCCAGGCTTAAAAACGCCAATAATCCCTGCAAGGGTTCTTCAGAGTCACAAATGCCAGAGAGAGAACTAGCTCGATGGCTGAAAATGGCAGCTTTGTGGCTTTACAGTCACATGCAGGCCTGGGAAGCAGCACGTGAATGCCCACGTCCTCTCCAGATGGACTCATAATGATGTTAATTGTCTGAACAGGGCATTAATTAATTGCTAAGGAAGAGGCATACTCCGGAAGAGAAGGCTATGTTTCCCCAGTTTTCAGAAGTGCAGATCTTTCCTCCACCGGGAAGATAGTCTCCAGAATGTGAAAATGGCTTCCAGAGTGGTTAAAAGCCTCCTTGAGAGAGCTAGACTCCAGAGCGGTACGTGCTTGGGAAAATCAGTCAGCAAATACAGTACTTTGGAGCACAGTATTCCCTCAGTACCACAGTAAAAGCTTTCCCATCACAGTGGGAAAGCTTAGAGTTACAAGGGGAAAAAAAGAGAGGAGAAAAAAACCCAGGCCCTGGTGGATAGAAACATCAGCTCGCTGGACTCCGTTCACTAGGAGGCAGTGCCATGATTTAACGCTGCTGGACAAGCTGCTGCTGCAAAACTTCAGCCAAGCTAAAAGAATATACAGAAAACATGGAAGCTGCAGGTAGAAACCTGCAGCAAGTGAGGTGCTTGCACAACCCCGAGAGCTTACCCTGCTCTTGCAGCACTCATGCAGATGCCTGTGGAGCACACCACTGACGCGGCCTGGGCTCGCGGGCTGCTTTGCACCAGGAAACCCCTGACCAAAACAGACACCTGGGACAGCAGGAGAGGCATTAGCGAGTCCATCCTTCCTAGGCAGTACTCTCCAGTGAGCACACGAACCAAGGGAGAAACTCCCAGTTCAGAGCACAACAGGTTTTTTGGAGCTGTTTGTTTTGGAGAGTGCACCAAAACGCCTATGCTAGTCAGGGAATACATGGAAATATCGTCATAGAAATCTTTATTCTTTATTTCTGTTTTAAATAACTTTGCTCTATATCTAAATATAGATATATATATATGTACACACACATATGCCTATTTTAAATATATACATAAACTTTGATATATACACAAACAACTTTTATTTTCTTATATATATACATATATAAAAAGATGACAGGGCATGGATCACCTCAGCTAGAGGCTTAAACCTACAACATTTTATGCAACTTCAGGCTTCACAAAACACATCAGATTGGGGTCGGAAAGGCTTTCTGCTGAGGGTGCCAACACTGCCAGTCAGCAGCTCTGGTACAGCGAGGGAGACCACGTTGCCGCCAGACCCACTTCGTGAACCAGGACTGTTGTTTGCCTGCAGAACCACCGAAGACACCATAGAACCATCGCGATGGTCGCTGCATTTGTATTATGTCATTTGTCACACAGCTGTGACAACAGCAGCAGCTTTGGTTATTACTGCCCTGGGCTGGATCTGAGTCAGCGACCATCTCCAGCCTACCCAGAGCTATGAGGAATAGGCACTGCTTGAAAAACAGAACCCAAGTCAATTGTACTGGAGTCACGGCTCCAAGCTGCACCAGCCTCAGGGGGCTGGGAAGGTCATGAGCGTGCCAGTACTGCAGAGTATTGTGTATGCCTGTGCACGAAGCATAACTCACCTTTCTAGTGGAAGAAAATCATGTTTCTGCTTTGCTGCAAAGATGCAGAGTTATAGCTGAAGCAGGTCTGAGACAAGCGTTCAGGTTCAGTTCAGGGTACAGGATGTATTCAGCTATGTCTGCAAATAGATAATTTGGTTAGTTCTGGCCACCTAGATTTTCCTGAAAGCTTACAGATGCTCAGCTAGATTTCCATCAGCCTGAGCAGCAGTGTCACAACCTGGGACCAGGCCTAGCGAGCTCTCAGCTCTCTGGGTGTCTGCACTTTGGAAACCTGTAAGTGGAGAGGAACAGTATAAACAACATTATCATCATCTACACGTTCTTTATTGGAAAACGTTAGGACCACATTGGGAACATTCAACAACAGCTCCTGGAAGCAACCACTTGATTTGCGTTTTCACTCCTTTAAAACAAAGATTGGCTAAGGGAGTCGAAACAAAGTATATTTAGTCTCTTTATTACCCCACCATTTTCATCTGCGTGACAAGAGACAAAAGCAACTACCTTCTACTGAACGTTGTTGGTGTTAATATTTGTCTTCAGAAAGAAGCCTCTGAAAACATGCGAGCAAGTGGCAGAAACGAATGATGGCAATTGCAGCCTTGAAATAAGACCCTTTCTGTCCTAATACAGAAAACATTTCCTGTATATTAATGTGAGAGTACTGACCTCTAGTGACAAGTTAATCATAGAGTACATGAGCATTTGTTAGAATAAACTGTGCTTCCCACACCTTCTATCCTGATAAAATCTACTTGTCCAGAGCAACCTCACCTAGGCTGGGACTGGGATCAAACCCCACCCACAGCCTGCAACGGCTCTCTGCACTTACTCCCCGTTAACACCAAGGACTCTGCATCCCCATCCGGCAAAACAGCTCCTCAGAGGGTCAAAACACTGAAAGACACCAGAGTGAACGTCTGCTGCGCAAATTAAATAAACCAGGTGATGAAGAAATTGGTACACAACGCAAAAGCCAAGCAGTACATTACTGATTGCCGGTGCATCCCCCCACCCCCAGCCAGGCACCTGGCACCCTGCTGAGCAGCAGCACAAGAGCTATACCCATTTTTAAAGCAAATAAGGCAACGTCACTTGCCAGCGAGTGCCTTTAGTTGGGAGCTACCATGTCGGTACTGGCTGACAAGACAGTCGATCAGATGTTGTACTATGTCTCTACCTCCTATTGGCTAAACCCCTTCTCCACACTCAAGGAAGTCCTCTCCTGGAGGGGTTTACGGTCTAAGGACAAAGAGACAGAGGAAGAGAGGAGAGCAAGGGGCAGACGAGGCAGTTAAGAGTCACTGCAGGCAACGTGGCCACGTGAGAGGGATTTAATGACCCAGGACGTGCTGCTTGGCAAACAAGCCCTGGACGGGCTCTCCGGCAGGCAGGGGAGCTCACAGGGGCTGGCCACAAAGCCAGCGCGCGGAGGGGGCAGAAATGCCAGCACGGCGCACGCACGCGATCACTACTGCCATGAGAAAACACTTCCGCGATTTCGGCTCAGGCGACCACCCAGAGACGACCAGCCTCTCACCCAAACGAGGAACAGAGACGCGAAGCCACGGCGAGGTCTGGTTCCATCCCAGTCCTCTTCAGGACGGGGCGCCTCTTGGCACACACCTCTCCCTTCCCTCGCTTTGTTGCGAGATTCAGGAGAGGTATTGGGTACCCACTTAAAAAATTGAATTTATACAAATTATATTCATATTTTCTAAACAGGACTAAGAGAAGGCTAGAAAGTAAAAAACCCGCAAATCTTGCCATCCCATACCAGTGTCACCGTGGCGCTCCTAGGCCTGGGCCAGACATCAGCAGTTTGGGGCACAGAGCAGCAGGGACTCCCGCAGGAAGGGAGCCGCCCTCCCGCATGACATCCCAGCGGGCCAGCGATTAAACACAGCCCGAGTCACAGGTGCTGTAGGCTGATCTTCAACTCGCATTGAAGGTCAAAGTAATTTCAGCATGGGGCAGAGCCTGGCTCTGCAGCAAGTATCATTAATCGTCCTTGCAATACAGTCGTGGTGTCCAAGGGCACGGCCCCAAGTTTTGCAGCAGTTGCTGTTTGGGTTGAATTCAAGTCCTAACAGTGACATGCACCATTTCCATTGCAGTTTCATCTCCTCAGAGATTTTTACATGCTTTAATTAGGATTTTAACGGCTTTCTTTGAGGTGCCAAGAGGCAAGGACCACAAGTGACAAATGACTGTCGGCTGTTCCTGTTTCTATTTTGGGCAGGGAGAGAACCAGGCTTTAAAGCAACAGAAAAGCAGCTTATGGTGCCTAAGGCTGCACCCAGCGACGGAGAGGCGACAGAAATGGAGAATGGCACCGCAGGCAAAGCACCGTGCCCTCTCGTGGAAAACTATAAATATATCCTGCTCCCCCTTACTTACAGCTCTGTCTTCGTGCTGGGGCTGCTCCTCAATGGGGCAATGCTGTGGCTCAGCTGCTGCCGTGCAAAGGAGTGGACCTGCACCACCGTCTACCTGGTGAACCTGGCCATAGCGGACCTGCTGTACCTCTGCTCTTTGCCCTTGCTCATTATCAACTACATCCTGCAAGACACGTGGCCTTTCGGAGAGCTGCTCTGCAAGCTGGTACGCTTCTTGTTCTATGCCAACCTGTACGGCAGCATCCTGCTGCTGACTTGCATCAGCGTCCACCGCTTCCTAGGCGTTTGCTACCCGATTCGCTCGCTGCCCTACCGGACCCGGCGCCTGGCTGCCGTTGGCACAGCGGCATCCTGGGCTCTGGTGTTCCTACAGCTCTTGCCCACCTTCATCTATGCTCGCACTGGCGTCATCAACAACCACACCGTCTGCTATGACATGACAAGCCCCGAGAACCTCCACAGCTACTACCCCTATGGCATGGCTTTAACGGCATCTGGCTTCCTCTTTCCTTTTCTCATCATTTTAGTCTGCTATTGCTTGATGATCAAAAGCCTGATCCAGGCAACTGGAGACACCAACCCCACTGGAAGCACTGCCCGAGCCAAGTCAATTCGAACCATTCTCCTGGTGTGTGGGCTTTTTGCTGTCTGCTTACTTCCCTTCCATATCACCCGGACCATTTACCTCTTCATCCGGGTGTACCGGGTAACTGACTGCCAACTTTTTCAACGCTGGAGCTTATTCTACAAGATCTGGAGGCCTCTGGTGAGCCTGAATAGTTGTGTCAACCCCCTCCTCTACTTTCTTTCTGGTCAAACCAACAGAGCCAGGCTCATTTTGGAGCTGAGACTGCACAAGACAGACCCTCTTGCTAGGCCTGCTGGGAATGCAAAGGGGACAGATGCCCAAAGACAGCTTCCCCTGTGCTGAGAAAGCAAATCCTCAAGAAAGAGATCCCCGCTAACTTTACGACACTGCAGACTGGTTCCACTTTACAGAGTATATGACTTGGAGAAAAGCCATACAACTCACCTGCTCAATGAAAGGGATACTGTGTAACTGCAATTTCCCTAGCTAAGACAAACTTCGGTGAGGACAAGTTTGGGGAAGAACAAAAGGAAATATATTTATGAAGGAATAATGGACAAGTTGCCATAATTTCCTGAATAATTTCCTGTGAATAATAAATAAAGCTGAAATGCACCCTTTCCAAAAGATACATCTACTGCTTCTAACTATAAAGAGGACCGTGAACACAAATGATGGTGAACAACCAAGGAAGATGCACCATCACAGAGGTAAGCAGTCACCTACAGTCATTAGTTCAGTACCAAACTTTTAAAATGCTATGAGTGTTCTTTAAAAAGCTAACTCAAGGATGACAATTGCTTTCACCCCCTTTATTTCCTTAGCTGGGTCTGTCACATCAGCATCTTAACTGAAAGGAGCTACCTTACTGCTGCTAATCAGGACGAACAGCCCTAAATGCGCTACGAAAAGAGGTCTTTGCCTTACATATCACGTTCCAGAAAATGTAACAACTGAAGTTATTCTCCCAGGCATCTTCAGACACAGCTTAGCTGTCCTGCAAATCATAACAGCAGCAGGAGCCAATATTTCTGGGCAGTTCACTAGCCAAGTAGTTCGGGTTTGCCTATCCTAAGACACTTAGAAACATGAACATTGTTCATATGATCCCCTCTCAACCTACCTATGTGGCACCATAAGCTGCCACAACCTACAGCACATACAAGCACCACTGCAGTAAGGGTCTGGTTCAGAAAGCTTCAGCTCTCTTCACAAAGGCAGCTCAAGAAGATAACCAGCTCAGCCAAGAAGCATTCACAGGAACGGCAGGGTTCCAGTTTCCTCCTCACCCATGCCAAAGCCCCACCGCACTTTGCTTAAATGCTGTGGGCATTATGCGATAGGAACAAGCTTTGACTACTGGTACAAAACTTAACACACGAGAACCAGATCAAGGACCTTAGCAGGTACCATAACAGAAACACAACTTGTGGTTAGCGCTTTCCAACAGCAACAACACTTCTAACCCCCAAATTTGAGCTAGAGGGAGCTGTAGACCCATCCCTGCACACAATGGCTATGTGACACCCCTTTCACTCATACTAAACGGAAGAAGCAATTCTTCCGAGAGGGAGCAAGATAAAACAGCAGGAGCTGCCAGCTATACAAGACCTAGAAAACACTACAAGAGTGAGAGGAGTTTCCTTTTGAGACTAACAACAAACGATCTAGCTGGAACTCTGACTGACCACAACTCCAAGAGCATCAGAATAATAAAAAAAAAAAAAAAAAAAAAAAAAAAAAGCAGAAAAGCAGTTATAGGATACCCCTGAGAAGAAACATACAAAAGCAAAAAACAAACAAACAAAAACCAAAAAACCATATGTTTATCTTCAAGCGTTCCAGAGCACTTTCAGAAGAGTTCTGGGCAGAACTGCATTTGCCCTCTTCTCCACCTGAGCACAGCTGTTGCACTCGCAGTAACACGGGCAAACTGAACTAGACAATCCAGATTAAGCCACTGAGACAGCCAAGGCAGCTTCTGTTTCTTTCTCTAACATTTAACAGAGGCCAGGCAATGAGACAGAGCAGCTTGGATTTCCAATATGTTCACCCAAATGCAGGTGGGCTTGGTAACTACCGCTATCCACCATACCTGACAGCTGAGCAGCAGGCCAGGCAAGCCGATTTCAGTATAGCCCTTCGCAGGAATGGGCAAACAAAATCATTCCTGGTGTCTTTGTCAGGGGCCAAAGACAGGCACTCTGGGAGGTTCAGGATGAAGATTTCAATACTATGAACTGTTATGGTTAAAGATTTCCCAGGTCCTGCAGAATGGAAAGCTTATTCATAAGAACACTATCTTTACAGTACAAGTACTTTCGCTATGCTGTGCTTAGTGACCAGTATTTATCAAAAAAAACCCAAATCTGCAAGCACATTTACTTACTCGGAGAACATCATGAGACGTGAAGCACTGCAGTGTCTTCAAGACAGCTATTCCATTACTGAATATTTGAAAGTGTTATTTCATGATTTAAATGCATGGGAAGTCTAAGTATTTGGAAAACATTTCTGTTTTAAACATTTCCTTTTAGAGGTCTGCACATAATATAGCACACCACGTGCACATAAGTCCAGGGCTAACTGGCTTCCCCTTCACGCCAATGCACATCCGCCCCATCCAACAAAACACAGCAAAACATATTAATATAGATGTTCACGTTACTCAGAGACGCAGCTCATTTGAACAGCTCTGCCTTGTTACTTTGCTTGACCATCTGCACAGCAAGAGCAGCAGTAAAACAGTAGCTACGGTGGTAAGATACTCATTGGAATAACAACTAATTTTTGAAACAAGAATGAGAAAGTCTATCGAAAAGTCCAGTGATGAGCAAAAGACCTGTTAAAACGAGAAATAAAAAAAGAAAAAAGGAAAGGAACCACTCTGAACCACCCTGGGGCGTACCCCACTCCTCAAGGCACCCAGTGTGAGCAGCACGAGTAACAGACAAGAGATGGATAACACCATTTATCTTCTTCCCAAATTACACCTCTCTCTGATATCCTTCCAGAGATGTTAATAAAATACGCTGCTGAGCTACTATTTACTACCGTATTTACTGCACCTAAAGCGTAGCCTAAGCTGTCTGCCACATGTTATTTCTTTACCACTAACCCAGTCAGAGCCTTATAGCCCAGAAACGGAGCCCAGCCCGCAACCTCCTTCCTTGTTAAAGGTCATGCAAGTCGCATCATACCACCAGCCTCTCGCACCAGCAGGGGGAACAGACATTAAAGAGGAGCTTTGGAAACAGAAAGGCACTCTACAAAGATAAGCAGCTTTCAACCTGAGCCATTCCAAATCCATTGTAAACAGGACTTGCGCAGATACTGCCAAATTACACTCCAGCAGCACGTGCTCAGGCAACCCCTGCCCTGGCCAAGGCAGGTAACCCGCTCATTCGCGTAGCTGTTGGCCTTATCCCTCTCACAACAACCACAACTAGATTCCCCCCACCACCACAAAAGTCTAAATCCGGAAACTATATGCCAAAAGCCTGAAGTACATATACTGCAGTGAGCACTTCTACACCAGGCCGGAAGAAAAAGGGCTGGCAGCAGAAAGCAGAAGGCTCCACTCTGCCAGAAATCTGCTAGAGGAACAGAGGATGAGGCAACAAAAGCCAGACAGCTTCCACACACCATGTCCTGCTTTTTCCAGAAATGAAAAAGCAAGGTAAAGGAAACCTCTGGGCTGAAAACACTCAGAAAGGAAAGGCTAGGGCGTTTGGCTGACACAGGAAATTATACCTGCACAGAAGTCAACCACTGCACTTCAGCAAGTTGCTTAAGAGTACAGAGAAATTCGGAACTGAAAATAAACTTTCAACAAGACACCGAGTTCATAGCAATTGTCATATCACACAAGAAATATCAATCTACAGGTAGCAGTGGAATAGTTATCTATAACCCTAACACATCTGTGCTGGAGAAGCAAAGACAGATCTATGAGTAACGAGAGCAGGCAGGGGAGTGAGATGAGGAAGAGTAGAGGAACAAGAAAAACGAATTCCTTCCTTCCTCAAGAGGATGCATCAACCCGCAACTGATGTAAGCGGGGGAAACTTCTCCTCTGGATCCTCAAAGATACACTTCCCCAGAAACTCCTTCTAAATATTTCTCAGGGGAAAGCAGAAGTCATGCTCGTTTAAAAAAACCAAAACTCTCAACTACTCCCAAACGCAACCACAGGTTACAAGCAGTGAGATAAGAAAAATACAGGTGCCAGCATCCATTTGAAGTTTTTATTTAAAAAACAAACAAACACACACCCAGAACTCACAAGTCTAGAAGCAAATTAAGCAGTTTTGCATCGTTCATTCTCACTGGTGACAGTGTTTGGTTCTCAAAGGTAGCACAGAAAGCACCAGTAAGTCATCACAGCTCAAGGTACTCCCCTTCAGCAGTTAGCACAAAGCTCAGAATCTGCTATTTTATTCTCCTAGATCATTCTTCAGAACACAGGATTATCACCAACAGAATAGTCCTGGCTTAGTCTTTCAGGAAGATGATACAACATGAAAGCAATCTCCATTGAAAAAATATAAAAAACTATAAAAACATGAGTTCCAGAAGGTCTCCTCAAATTACTGTAAGCAAATACTACATAGCTATAAGGTGACATTTTTATTGTAATAAACTGCTGTCTTCCTCTGTGTTCAAGCAGTTGGTCAAAGGCCAATCAGCAGCTCTTAAGCATTTGGTGGCATGCAAGGACTCCTGAAGTGAGCAGAGACAAGCTCACTCACTACTGTACACTGCAGCCTCTGCTTGTACAGCAGCTTTTCCTTTGGTGCAACTAGTGCTCAAAGCCAGATGCTCCTGCCTTTTACAGAAAAAATCAAAGTGTCTGATTCCATAATCAGGCTTGTATAGTTTAAAAAAGAAAAAAAATGTGGGACTCCACAGGAGCTGCTAGGACCTAGTTCTACTCAGGAACAAGCCTTCCACAGAAGTTATGCAAAAGCACTTCATGAAGTTAAACGTTTTTCCACTGAATGCAGAACTTCAGTTCTTCATACAACCTTTCCATAGTTGGCAGTCACAATCTTTTAAAGATTTACCAATTTTCACATTAATCAGGACTCACATGAGTTTACAGCCAAGGCTACGATCCAATACTAAATTCCAGGGCCAGCACTTTTTAAATAGGAACATTAAAATCATAAACTAGTTTCCTCCAAAATATTTGTTTTGATCATAATAAAACAAACTTATTCTCCCACCTTTTTCTATAAAAAAATGAAACAGACCATCTGCAACTTGGTAACAAAGTTGTCCAGCTTAAGAATCTCAATAACTTCACGTCCACATCAAGACTCATTTCACAGCAAGCTGATTACCATAGCAAGGCTTTCATATTTCAGACATTGTTGTGTAGTAAGAAGAGGTCAAGTCTTAGCTATTTTAGACAGTATGGTGTAACATGTAGCTCCTGGGTTCACATAAAGAGCCAGATGATTCTTCATGGATATCTTTGTTATTTACCCAGGGGGAAGAGAGGAGTTTAAGCCGAGTATTTTAAAAATAGGATCTACAGTTGCAGAAGTGTGATGCATCACTCTGCTTTCGCTGTATTAGTTCTCAGTACCAGAAACAGAGTTTTGTGTACAGGAACTTCAATTACTTCTGCATTTGCAAGTGGGACAAGATGCTATTTCAGCATGCTTCTATGTGCCATTGTCGATAAGTAGGAAGAATAATTATCTGGTAGCTGCAAAAATAAAATTGGAAAGAGTCATGCACCTTAATAAGTCCACTCCTCAACTCATCATTTTGTCTGTCAGCCATTAATTCGTTTCCTTTTTTCTCATTAGGTTTTTAGTTACCATGGGCAAGACTTCATCTCCGAGAACAAGGATACATTTAGCATTTTACTCAGAGGCCAGTTTCTTGGCTATGTGAAACAAGAAATTGAGTTTTCAACATTAACATCTTACTGCTCTATTCTTAGTTATTAAAAACTCTACTTTGTTACTAATACCTGAGTGCCTAGTTTGGAGAGGTATCTATTCCTTAAACTAAAGTCATCAGCTTTTGGCTGTAATTTAGCCAAGTCATCTTCATTTTGGCGTCTGAGTCTCTCTTGTTCTTCTGCTCTGGAAAAGAAAATTGGTTTAAGAGACTTGCACCGAAGAGTGCAACAACTATCTTGGGTATGGTAGTTTTATTTCTAATAACTAAAAAAGCTTCTAATGTTTATAGATGAATACTCAATGTCAGATTCAAAGACTAAAGATGTGTCTAGATTACACTACTTTGGTATAAAGAAAGAGAGAGGCTATTTTCTGCAGTTTCCTTTTATTTAGGCTGTAATACTTCAGTAGAAAGAAATCTTCATTTGGTTTTCAGAGATTACAACATGTTCAGTTCTTATAACAACATTCATACTATCCCTTTACTAAACAAGTTTTCGTTCCTTAAAATATCTGAAGATTATATTACAAAAAGTAGTAATTGCCAAAAGTAGAAATAAGACTGCTCAGCAGTCTTCAGAGTCAATAGCAATCTTCTATAAAAGAGTCAATATTTGACCAGACAGCTGTCACTCATTTTTTCCACCAAGTCTTAAAGAGAAAGTAGACTGAAAGAACCCCTGACACATTTAAGACACTGCTTTGCATTAAGGTAGTGACAAAGGCAGTAACAGTGACCCGTTTCTAAGTTCTGGAAGGCAATGACCTTCCAAGTACATAAAACGCTGTTATATTAGAAAATCTCTACTCCCACCAAAGTAACATTGAGTGCCATATAAAGATGACGCTTTAGACTTTATTTTAAGACAACGATGTTTGCTTCAGGTGACAGATTACCCTCTCCAGTGACAGAGCTTAAACACAGTGTAAAAGGTTATAAACCCAGTCTTGTGCAAATATTAAAAGAAACAGATCTGGCATTTAATTAAAATTGGTTACAAAGCATGACATTTAGCCATTTACTGTAAAATCCTCAGCATGTTAGTGTCTTTTCCAAAGAACTACCGTCCACAGTTAACCAAACTAAGTAACACCATAATTCTTCAAGTTGACATGTTGCTGATCAAATGCTCCCCACTTCTGGATGATATTTGCTATTCAAATTTCTTTTCTGCAAAAAACATTGTAATGAGAATTACTAGAAGTAATGCTCTAGGGAACTACATCCCATAGCATACCCTAAAACAAAGTCATCCTCAGTTAAATACCGAAAGTGTTACACACACCCCCCACATGGGCCAGGTAGATGAAAAAAGAGCAGCTCTATTTGGACATAGAATTTCTTCACTCCTGCATACAAGGTGGTTTTTGGTTGCGTTTTTATTAAAAAATGGCTGTGATCTGTTGGCTCAAGGATTACACTCAACAGAACGAAGCTGGCATACCCTCTAGGACTAGCAAGGTTTTAGTTGCCTTCCTCCCTCAAGGGAGGCACAACAGCCCCATAAATCAGGACAAGAATCCAAACAATGTCTCATCCCAGCACGCACCACTAGGCAAAACTTTGACAGGTTTTTTTGGCCCCCTCCCCACTAAGCTAAGCATCATAAGGACAGTTATACAGTCTAGTTCTAGAGAAGTCCATAAAGTCCATTTATAAAAGGTGTCACGTTAGCAAAGTAACTACTTGGAATGAACTTAAGAGCAGCAAGATGCACAGTAGCTGCAGATGAATTTTAGTTACCTATTAAAAAAGTAAATAATTCCAGCAACATTACAGGCAAAGTTCAACATTTGAAGACTTGCTGAGCTGAATTAGGTCAGAACAGAAAGCATACCAAAAGAAAAACATTGCACGTTGTTCACATACAAGCAGTTCCAGTTCTACAGATTAGCCTGACATGACATTACAAAGCTCCCCCCGCCCCAAAAAGAAAACCCCACACAACCAAATATGCTTCATTTTTCGAAAAAGATGTCATCTTGAAAGCTCTAACTCAAGTTAACATGAAACTCTGCTTTCACGTTACAAATATTGAACAAAGGCTAGAAAAAGTCAGGAAGTGCTTACTGGGTAGGCACATGCTGTACCCCTTCCAGCAGTTCTCAATCATAATCTCAGAGAAATAAGTTCAATTAAAAGAGTAGATCCTAGGATTTCTTACACTTGCTCCACCCATAAGGATCAACTTACACTTCTGCTTTAAATACAATGAAATAAATACATTTAACAAGATTTTGTTTCATTGCTTTTACATTCTCCAATCAGCATGTTTTAAATCCTTAGCGCACTCAGGAAAACTAGGAAGAGGTAACATCATTTTTAGGCACTGAGACTACCAGAAGCCGCCTCTTGGACAAGGTCACGAAGACAAACTGATTCAACTAAGCTGCCCAAAATCAGCGCCGTGGGCAGACTTTACATTATGTCCTCGAACTAGTCACTTAAGTAGGTAGTGGAGCAGCTGGTGAACAGGTTGGGGTTTTTTGCCTTTAAGATGACATCTCTTAATGGATTTTAGATTCAATGCACTTTTTTTCCCCCCCTCTTTCCTTCTCTTCCTCCCAGACAAGGTAACTGTTCTGAAAGTTATGAGATTAACCTAGTGTCAACTTGACCCTTTGTAAGGTATTCCATACCCACTGTGAGCCAAGTCCCTCGTTTAGCATTCTCGGATAGCAAAACAAAACAAAAAAGCAAGCGAGTTTTCTGCTCTGCAGAGGGGATAAAGCCAGTATCATGGAGCACCGGGGGCAAACCAATGGCAGATGACTAGCGTCTTCCATGTTTGATTTAACAACATTCTTAAAAAGCAAAGAAACCCAGCACTCGGCTCCAACTGTTTGGAGAGTGCACAACAATGGACTTTTAACATGTCACCAATGTTTTGAAGTGGATTTTTAAATTATTATTCTGAAGAACGTCTCTGTCCTCATTTTCTGTACAGAGAAAAGCAAGACATTCAAGTCCCCTGCAGACTAAGATTTGATTAAGTGGATTAACTGCTGGAATTGGCTCATTTTATGAATTTCTGCTCTCGACCTTCAAGTGTTCAAATTCCTTTTAAAGGAAGTGGATTCTACTTTATTGGAACTAATCTACTTTATTGGAACTTTATAGAAGTTGAATTCTACTTTATTCTACTAAAGAACTCTACTTTATTGGAATCACCCACCCCATTTTCTTTTTAAAATGGAAGCTTTTCACTGAAGTCAACAACATTTATGCAAAATCTGACTAATTCTGAGTGTCACATTAGCACTGAAATTTAGACTCAAGTCAGCTTTCAAAGACAAGAAGTTAAATTAAGACTTCTAAATAAGATAGCAAGATGATCAAGCTGAAACAGAAGGGGATGTAACTGGGGTGTAGTTTCTTTTTGAGAGAGATAATAGTTTTTAAATATGACTCTTCAGAAAGTTAGTCCACTTAATTACTTCAGGTTAAATCTTTCATAAGGACACCGTTCTTGGTTGTTCTTTATACTTACTCAGTTGCAGCTACTTTTTGCAGTTTTTCCCTTTTCTTCGCAGACCAGTTAAGATCACCTCCTGCAACAGAAGTAATACACGCTTTGAAACTCTAGAAATTGATCTTTTTAAAGTATATCTTTGATATCATACTTTGTTAAGGAAATTCTCAAAGAACTTTGCCAAAGAGATAAGTGGAGTAATTTTACAAAAGCAGAAACCGATGTAGAGAGAAAAAGCAACACATTTGCAGTCATACAAGCAAGTCAAATCGAGGATCAAGCCAAGGTCTCAAGCCTGATCCAGTTTTCTATTGCATAACGGTAGTTTATCTCCAGCTCACCATATTACCCCATAAAAGTGGAAAGAGGGGAAGCAACTTTGAAAGAAACAAATTAATATCCCCCTCTAGATCTTTCAGTAGTTACTGCTTCCCACCCATGATATCCAGAATAAGTTTCCAAGATACTGTAGCTGCTAAAAAGACAATGTCATTTTAACAGCACAGCAAAGCAGGAACAGATTAGGAGCAGTAACACCTGTAAGTGTGCATTCAGGCATGAGCAACAATTTGGAGAAAGCCCATAAAACAGAGCTAGAAAGCCTTCTTTGGCACCCAAATTAAAATGCTTATGTGTTGGTATATTAGGAATTCAGGGCATGCAACCACTAATTTCAAGAAGCAAAAACTGCAGAGGTAAGAGATTCAAGAACCAAGCAAAGATGACAGGCTGAAGTTAAATAAGAAGTTCTGCCACAGACCCACCAAGCAGATCTCTTTTCCAGGCTGGAGGTTGCTTTTAGACAATAGAAATGGTGCAAGCTTCATGGTTTGAAAGAAATAGAAGCAGATCAAAATCCTAGCACCTCTTTTGCTGGCACAATCACACATTATCAGCAAGTGAACTAAGCGTAACAAGCATTTCCCAGCGCTCAGTTTCACCACTGTAGCTCAAGTGAATAATATGATGTGAAAGAGCAGTTGAGATGAATTAAGAGTGCAGCTATTTGAAGGAAAACCTACGGAATTAAGTTTTATATTTGCAGATACATATATAGTCAAGTTTGCTAAGCAGCTTAGAAAGAGCAATTTGAAGGTGTTTGTAGAATGTCCTAGGTGTTCGTTCGAGTTAGCTGAAAGGATAGGTATTGCACGCGGTTCACACTAGCGTGTCTAGGAAAAAGCAATTATGAGGACCATTCTCACCCAATAGATGCTGCTGTTACCAAATCCATGAGCTCTAGCATCTGACACAAGGCTGCTCAACACCAACCGTAATCTGTTCAACTTGATAGCTTTAAGAATTATGATATATCAGGAGAAGGTGAAAACACTTATTTACCTGTTAGGTGATTCACAAAATACAGCATGACTACAGCTATTAGAGATACTAAAAAAAACAAAGAAACAATCAGAGTTGACAATAAATGCAAAACGATGACATAAGAACAGCTTTAACATACAGTACAGCAATAACCAAGATTTTTCATGATCATTCTAACAGAAGGCAGATTTTTGCCAGAATCACTGGATCTTTTTTGAAGATTCCACTGCGCTTTCCAGTAGTACGGTAACTCAGGAAAGGTTGTTTTAGTTGTATTTATACTAATAAAAGCCATCATATAAACATAGCCTTTGTAAGTATCATTTAGCTATCCTTTTACTCACTCATTTTTTTCAATGCTCAGACTACTTACATCTCTTCAAAAAACACAAAACACGTCATTAGCCTGAGTTACTCTCAACATTGCCCGAGCCGAAATCTCTACTCAAATACACATTAAAGAGTAGTTACTACTATTTTACAGGAAGTGTTAAAAGAAAAGCTTAAAGTCTGAATGCACAGAGTCCACTCTCAATGTTTTTGCTACTTACAGCAAACGCAAGCACTGAAGAACACTTCAAGAAACAGATATCCTCTTGTGTCCAGTATCATACCAGCTGCTATAGCAATAATCGCCAGGCCCAGGTTCTGGATAGACTGCATACTAACACAAGAACAAAGAATTACCACTGTGTAGAAATTACTATTTTTTTTTAAATAAAAAAAACATTAGTGGCATTGAATAAACAATGAAGTTAACCTCTTCCGAAACGTTATGCAACTACACTCAGGGCTCCACATATTTGCAGACGTTTCTGTGCTTGTACCACAACCACATGCTCTACCACACATACATGCTGAAACTACATGAGGCTTCCTGTTAGACTGAACTCTGAGGAAATTATTAAACATTAATTTACCAGAACTGCTTGAAATTCAGTGATTCTACAGCATAAGGAGACAGGTACAGGTACTTACAAGCCATAAGCAGTTCCCAGCTGATGTTCTGGAACTACAAAGGCCACCATGGGCCACAGGGCACAGGCAAGCAGCGAGTAAGCCACTCCTAGTAAACACTGGTGAAACAAATCAGAACAGGTAAACAGGTACTACATATGATGCATTTTTGTGTAAAGTTTTAATAAAGGAACATATCCCCCCATTCAAAAAAAATGAGTGGAAAGGGTATTGCAAAAAACTTTATACACTAAGTAAACATACGCATTTAGAAAGAAAGGCAACTTTTCCCAGCTTGGCTCATCTGAAGTCATAACATGAAGAAAATCATTTCAACAAAACAACCTGTCACCTCAAACCAGAGCTAGATGAATTTGGTCCCATCATAAAAGTTAACAAGCTTCTAAAAAACTCTCAACTGGGGCGGGGGGAAGAACACACAGATTTCTACTACAGCCAAGAACTCTTGCAATTAAGGATCATATACCACAAAAGCCATATTCTACAGAAATCCTAAAAACACCTTTGAACCAGTAAAAGTATTTCTGCCCATCCATTCCAACATCCAAAAGCAAAGTGACCCAGAAACTACAGCCTAGATAATGGGCCTCAAAAGGAGGAAACAGTTTGCATCTACTCTTTATATAATAGCCATTCCACCCAACTTGGATGCTGACACAGATTTTAGAGCCTGACATTAAGGTCCAGAGGAAAATTACTAGTGCTGAATCCTACAGGAAACAAACTGAAGAACAAAGAGCCCATTTTTAACCCTCATACATGCTGAGCACTGGATTTAAACCCATAAACCCAAGTTCCAAAGCCATTTCTCAGGCAATTTCCCCTGGGAAGGGGAAATGAACAAAGGTTTTTCTTAAAGTTTACCACTATCTGATAGAGCACATGAGAGGCAACTTAATGATACTAATAAACTTCAGAACTACATCACGAGAACAAGTTTTAGGAGAAAAGTGAGCACTTTTCACAGTAAGTATTACTAGATTACTGTGCTGAGAAACTCCAAGAAACTTGAGGCAGATCTCTGAAACAGATCACCATCTAACTGCAGAGGTGGTGGTGGAATTAAGGTCTTCCCTGAGCAGGCAAGGAGTTGCCACATCTAAGCCCAGGTTTCCTGGGAAGCTGAACAGCTTTTTTGCACTGAACAATTATAGAATCACTGCCACAGAGAGCAGCATGTGAGCAATCTATTCCACTCCAAAAGCCACGCACACATTTACTGCCACCAAGAAATACCAAAAGCTGAAGTGTTATCTTCAGGTCACAGACAGCTCATGATAGTTTAGCCTGCATTAGGCACACTTTGCTTTATGTATTAGTCAGGAACACCCAAATAGCTTCTGAGGACTAACTAAACAGAAGATGGAGGCAACATTTGCAGAATGATTCATCAACTCAGTTCCTTATTTTATCATATTGAGCTATAACAGTCTCTTATGAGAAATCAGTTACCATTGCTATCCAGGGGTTCCAGAACGTAAAAGCCAGCATGATGTGAGAAGCAAGTGTAGTTACTACAGCACATAAAACCCAGACGATATTCTTTCCAAGTTTATCCACCAGGAGTCCAAAGACAGGGGACATGGGTGCCGATATGATATATACAATACTGCAAAAGAGTAAAAATAAGAGAACTGAACACTACATAGTCACAGACAGCTTTAGGTTTTCCAAGATACAAGCACCACTATATGAGATGTCAAATTCCCCTGCTGCTGGTAAAGTCTGGCTAAAACAAACAAAACCCAAAAACCAAGACAAACAAGAACTCTCCAGAACTCAAAATGCCTCAGAGGCCTGAGGACATAAAAACATTCAATATCCAATAAGGAAAGACTGACACATTTAAAGTTCTTGGAATCTTTGGATCAGATGTTTTATATTTTGCCATATCACAAATTCGTCCTCAAACAAGGAAAGTTTAGTTCATTTAGTGTTGCTATTAAACTGCGTCTGAAGGGAATCACCAGATACCAAGATACCCTTGAGGCACAACTTCTCCCTTCTGCTTCTTCAACACGAAGACATAAGACTTATTTTTAACTTATATACCAGCACCTCCCAGTTACTTCTCAGGCCACCTAAATGCAAACCACCTCCAACAGTAGATCCCAGAAGTCTCCCCAAACTTCCAGAGCTCAGGTACATAAGCCTCTAAAAACACAGTAGCACATTTACTTGTTAAACCAACTGCAAAATACCTGTTAATTGCACTTGCTTCTTGAGATGAGAATTTGAATTTCTCAATGAAGAAAACCCTAAGAATAAAAAAACCCACCAGTTTAGAACAATTCACATTTGTATGAAGCAAAAGAAAAGTTTTAAGCTAGATTAAGTAAACCCCGGAGAATTAGTTTACAGAGGGCTTGAATATAGCTTTGACTGACATTTGCTACTTCTCTATAACAGATCCTCATTTGTAAAACATTGAGGAGCTTATTCTTAGGCCATACAAAGTGTTTTTTCCCCCCAAGGACTGTTCGAATCATGTTTTAGGGAAGCCATTACTGGGTTACACACTAGTTGTCCTTTGAATAAGACATTAGCAACAAAAACACTGTATGAGACCAAACTGAGAACTTCTGGAATGCACACACAAGCAAAAACCAGGCATCTCCATTAGCCTGGAGAAGTCTTACAGTCAGCAAGTTCAAACTTTTCCTTCTCACTCAATATGCACTGAGCTTAAGAGAGCTGTTTCTAATTCCAAGAACATTCAAAACGCATTTGATTGAGATTCATAAGAAAAGTCTACATATAAATGCTTCAAGTTGAAACTTGATATATATTTAAAAAAAAAAAAATCAGTAAGAGAATTTCAGTCCAAAGCTGTAACTATGTTCATTTAAACCCCCACCTCATACTCAGTCAATAGTGTAGGAGTACAGAAGAAATTCTGCATGGCAGCTATCCATAGCTTTCTGCACCAGAACTTATGCCATGTTTTAGATCTGCACTAAGTTTTAATCAAGACACGGAACGTGTATTATGCTTTAGAGTTCTGTCTATTCAGCCTATGCTAAGCAATGTTATTTCCCATAAAGCTCAGCAAACAAGGAAACCATAATATTTATGACTACTTGTATCACAAATATTCCGGGCAGTGCCACAGAAAAAACGACAAACTACAGCACAGACCTGCTAGGAGACAAATTGTTCTGTATCTGTAACCACCTGGAGTTCTCATATATTAGCCAACACCTCTCCCCTCTTTAGGGAAACTACAACTGGTTAAACCCTGGCCAGATTCAAGGGGAATAGCCGCATTTAAGCCAGAGATACTTACTTTCCAAGTCCAATGAAAGGAAAGACAGCTGCATAATAACAGACACAGATTACGAATATGAGCCACAAGGACAAAGAGAAGTCCTTCACATCAGTTAGCTTAATCACTTCACCTGGATTGGGTAAGAGACAATATGAAGTGTTTCAGTCAGCATAAACAAATCAAATCCATTCACACTGAACAAGTATTAGGTTGATGAACAGTCACTACTAAAGCATATAATCCTGCTCCTTATCTATACTCTCGTATAAAGTTTACATAGCGAGAGTCAGTTAAGAACATACAAGGCCTAAGTCTACAGCGCCAACGTCAAGAACAAACTTGTATATCTGGCTTAACGCGGGAGTGACCATTTTAAAACAAGTTCTCCAAAATCTCTGAAAGTCTTATGCAGCAGAATTAAATATAAACAGCTTTCTCAAGGAAGTGTTTGATCAGCTAGTGCAAAAACCTATCTGAAGCCTCAAGTTATGTGGTCCTATTTGGTTCTCAAGTTTAGTTCATTTTTAATTGGTCTTACTATTTCCACACAGAAAACTCAAAACACCACACATTGAGAAGAGCTGCATATTTTTGTACACCTATTAAAGGAAACGAGACTGACTCCAACAAAACAGTACTGGTGACAGCCTCACAAGTCACACCAACTTGGTCTGTGCTGCTTTCCACATGCTAGTTTTCAATGTAATATATAAAGCAGATGACAACACATCTGTCTGTAAACCAGGCTTAAAACTATAAAACTTCCTACTGATCTAGAACTGAATAACTAAGTTATGATTAAAGCTATGACTGTGAAATCAAGGTGTTAAGCAGCATCCATTGAACTATGTAACATGGGAATCTGTACAGTGTTATCAACCGGAAGGGTCTGATCCAGAATAAAAGAACACAGCCCAAAATATAGTTAGCCTTACTATCCATACCACTCACCGGTTTTTCCTTGCTCTTTACAAAGGAGCTTCTCTGCTCTCTTGTCCAGATAAGCAAGGATCAACGCACAAGCCAGGGAAAAGAGACACGTTACGCCACCTGCACGAAGGCAATGTGACATGCTTACTTGATGTTCCAATAAGTAAACTGCTTTTTAAACACGTTATATCTTGATATCTCTAATGCAAATTCAGTCAGCTTACTAACCCCAGTTTGTCACAGGCGTAAGACTCAATAGCTGTACAACTCAAAGAACCATAAACATTTAAACCTACTGTCTCCTTCAGGTCTGAGATCTGCCTTGAAATTGAGTACAAACACATAATTACTGTTTATTCCAAAATATTAATGCTACCCAGCACAGCTGAACTCCTTGTCTGTACCTTGTAATAAGAGAAACAAAGCTGAGCCTTTGTTACAAACACCAGTGCCTTAATACACATGATCTGAAAGAAGGGGCACTAATCCAAAGGGAGTTGAAATGTCATTTTCCCACGTTAGACATAACTGCACAAAAGTTTTGACATGAGGTCCTTCAGAAAAATTAACAGACTTGACCATGTCATACTGCCAAGTATGTTTACTCAACATAGGTAAAGTGTTTTAACTCCATAAGATACAAACTTGAACTTGACAACCGCAGAAACCACACAGCATTATCAGATACAATAACCTTACACTGTGTACACTGATAGCACACAAGCATAACATTAAGCATTGATACAGTGTCCGAGTTCTTCTTCCCAACCCCAAATACTCACAATTTCTTGCATTCTAGATGGCAAGTCATTAACGTGTATGCATGCTGTTCATAACAAAACCCAAAATACTTTGTGTGACAGCAATTCAAAAACATTACTAACCTATCATGAGAGTTAACCCAAGAGTACTGTGACCAGTATACCCCAGAAGATCTCGAACTCTAGAGTATATCCATCCCATGATATTCATGTTCACTGTGCTCCCCTAGGCAGAACAAACTTGTGTGAAGGATGATGTATTTCACGATTATATGAATTCAAAAGGAACATTAGGCAGACTGCCTATTGAAAAGCATTAAAATACATATCAGGTAAGACACTACACAGAACATAAAAACACCAGCAACAATGATAAAGTTATTCCCTGCTGTTTTGATCAGTGTTTGTAAAGAGTTAATCCTTACAACAATAGCAAGTTTAATATTGCATGTTAAAGCAAACAGGACTCCCACCTGATAAGTATCAAGCAGCAGCACATTCTTCTCTTCTACCGAAACAACCCACAGCTGCAATCCCGAGGCTAACGACACAGGCAGCTAACCTTGGCTCAGCTGGGGTGATTGAGGCAATCTAAGCAGCAACAGCCTGAATCTCAGCTCAGACCAAGTAGCAACCAGCTAATTCACTTTTACTGAGGTAAACACCCGCAGTGGTTTAAGTGTTACAAGGCTGCTCAGCAAGGTCCCATAAAAGCAAATGCATGCCTCAGCTCTCGCAATTCACAGCCTGGTATGTTAGTGTAAAACCACCTCCATCAGCAGTTTGAGTATATCAAACTGAAATGACACAGCTAAATGCAGTCATGCAGTTCCCGTCACAACTGGCAAAAGGGACAAAACCCATCAAAAACAAAACCACCACCACCACCCCCTTCTTACAAAAGCACAGCAGTAACAGATAAGGACGGTAATTTCTTAAAGCAGCTGTCTCAGCTCACTCATCAGAGCCTCCACTTAAGTCTCAAGGCCACAAGCTACCCTCAGGCAAACCAACGCTTACAATACACCAAGCATCACCCTTTGAGGAAATGCAGTGCTGTGAATGTCTCACCTAGCAATCTGTGCTAATTACAACACCCCTGCTGCAATTTGATGGGCTTTTAAGAAACTTTATTAACCAATTTCCTTGGGTACCTATCAGACTTCACATTTAAACCCATTTTTCCCCAGAGAACTTCCTAATGAGCCTTAGAAAGGCTGCTTTCCACCTGTCTCACTGCTAAGCCAAGCTCAACACCAGAAATCTTAAGAATCAGAGCTGTACAGTTTTCAACTTACAATTCTGGCCATGCTTAGCTGTAATCCAAACACAAGATTTAACTCCTTGCCTTTAAACCAACTGACTGCATAGGTGTTTTGTGCCACTGCTAAGGACTCTCCACCTATTCTAGAAAAAGGAGAAACAAAACCAAAACATGTTAACTGTGACACACGAAGCAATAAGAAAACAGTCCACTTGCTGGCAATAACGAGATGACATTATTTCAGAGTAATTTCTGCATATACAGGTAAACCTGGTGCATATATGTAATGCAGCAGAAATCTCACTGAAGACCTGGTTCAAATAATAATTGCACTGTCTTACACATAATTAAGAGTGACAGGATAGACTGCTAAAGATACCTGCTTATCTAGGAATGGATTACAATCGCCTTTGGTCATTTACAGAAATTGAATGGATGGGCAGCAGATTCATTTCTCTTTTGCATATGTAAGAGATTAGAGAACCAAGTAGTATAGCTCCTGATCCCAATGAAATCAAAAGCATGCATCTTGTCTAGAATCAAGAGCTAACAAAGGCATGTAATGTAGTCAGTCAGATTTTCTAACACTTGCATACTGTGGCACTTTCACAACTTTACAAGAAAGAAAATGCCAGGAAAAATATCATCTTTGCCACTGCAGCAGCCCTACTGTATTTGTAGTTTCTAGGAATTCACTTTACTTGGGAAAGCAAAAAAAAAAAAACAAAAAAAAAAGCACAGAAAAGGAGGAGTAATATACTTTTAGTCAGCTTACTGAACATCAAGTGTTTATTTGGGCAGTTTCATATTTTCTGAATTCAGTAGATAGTGATTTTTTTTTTCCAGTTTGGAAAACCTGCCATATCTAATTGCTTTCTAACATTAGACTGGAGGAATGCAACTGAAGCCTTCTGCATATCTCAACTTAAAAGATGCTTCAATATCTAACTGTTTTGTCTCTGAAAGTACAAACACGTGAGCAGTCTTCTAGGACAGAAAGCTGGTCCTTACATCAGAGAACACTTACTATAGTCATCTAGACTTACCCAAACACAAATCTGCCTGCTTCCATCAGCCAAAAAGCATTAAACAGTGCTCCCAAAGCAAAAATCACCTGCAAGACATGCATATGAGACATACATGAAGTACAGATTGCGCTAGAACAGTCTCAAAACAGATGAAATGCTTTCCCCACCCCCCACTCGACCTGAAGAAACATTTCACATCTGCTTCCTGCTCCTTGCCTTTATCCTTAGCTCCCTCTACCCTATGTATCATCCCAGCTGGCTACACAATATCCAACCCAGCCTCCTACCCCGAAATTGCAATCAGAAAAATCTCTTCAGATGCTCAGTCATGCCTTTCCCTTACCTTCATACCCCGCTCAAACACATCTACAGAACAGTTTCACATCAGAGCTAGAACACATTTGCTTCCTTCATCGCTCTTATTTACTCATTTATCATTCAAGGTCCTCTGCACTCTCTTCCCTTGAAGTTACAAAAGAAGCTGAAGAGGTAAAGCTCCGGGAAGAGGGAAAGGAAAAGCCGCCACAACGTTAGAGCATGAAGTTCAACTGGGACTTAAGGGTGGCAAGAAGATAGAGCAGGACAGAGGAGCACGCTACTGCGTGACCCACTTCAATTACTAGTTTTCTGATAAGTGAACGCAGTTGCTCTGTCCGCCCCTTAGGCTCTCTGGTGAGCAGCGTGCCCTGGCTGGACTGCGCCGGTCCTCGGTTCCCAGCACCTCCTCTGAGCCCGGCGATGTCCAAACGATCAAGGATGGAAAATATAGCATCTCTATTCATCAGCCTGAATCTCCACCACAGGAGCACCAGTACAGGTACACAGATACAATCAAGTCTACCACAGGTACCTGAGCTGGATAAAGACTAAATTCCTATATTACATGAAAATAGAAGCAGATAATTGAGACAAGTTTACAGGCTGGATGTTAGCGACTTCCAGAAAATCCAGTAAGTATACAAGGCAGGTAGTATAAAAACCTACATGACTATCTCAGAAAAAGACATCCTTGCGTAGTTAGGCATCCACCAAGAAGTTCTTGAAACGTGACCTTGTTACTTCTATGCTAATGAAGGGTTTTACTTTATTTAAATAACATTTATAGGCACATAATGGGGAGAAAAGTTGCCCAGGTCAGGATTTCAATTCCCTTTTCAGTTCTCTTCACCTGCTTCTTCCCACCTGTGTTTTTTTCCTGCTTCAAACAGATATCATCCTTCAGCCTCTCATTTGCACTTACCTGCCCAACACAGACAAAGATACTAAATATAATTGTGCCCAACCTGTAAAAAAGAAAGAATAGCTTAATGCATAACCAGACTTTCTTTTCCCCTATATAACACAGTATTAGATCCACAGCAAGGAATAAAAGGGAGGCTGATATGCAATAAACGTTCTCTGTAACAAATGCCACAGCTCCACAGCTTCATTAGAAATAAATGGTACAGACTGGCAATAATTTATTGAAGCTAGGAAAGGAAGAAAGCCCATTTATACCAGTGGAAATTTCTACATTACTTGAAAAAAATTGTTTTGAAAACCTGCATAATAATTATGATGTGTTGGACTTGCTGAGTCACAACTTGGACTTAATATGATGATCCTTCTCAGTACCAGTGCCTAGCCTTTTGAAATATTGCGTTCAAGAAAGCTAGCCTAACATCCAGACTGAGCTAGACAGTTATTAAAGCTGGTGCGGTTCCACTGACCCAAGGAGTTTTTTTTATCTGCTTATATCACAGCTGAAAGTGGTTCACTCTACACAGTAAAACAATACATATTATTCATTAATGTCTACAACATCTCTAAATTCTGCTGTTAGTTATAGCTATGCAACACCACTGAAGTTACGAGGGTTACAGGGATGTCCTGAGAAGACCTCTTACCCTTATGATTTTTTCAAGGTTAGGTTAATTGGAAGGATGGAGTTCTGTGAGCCCGACATTATTTTTGAAGAACACAAATAGCACTGGCCCACTCGTCACAACCTTGTGGTATGAAAAGTAAAGTTTCAAGGACTGAGGTTCCCTTTTCTTTACAGCTGGCACAACACTAGGTATTAGCTCTGTTTGAAAAGACTTAATTGAAAACCATCATACTAGGCCTCAGAAATTTTTTTTTTTTTTTTGCGCAAAAGAGTGCTAGTTTGGACATTGCAAGGGAGCAATTTTGGTAGTCTTAACAAGCAATTATTGGGGGGGGGGGAACAGAATTTCAGACTGTGCTACATCCTCCCTATATTTTAGGTCTATGCTCAGGTTTCACTCCATTAAAAAAAAAAAAACGTATCCTATTCTTTTTGTTCCATTAGGTCTGCAATCTAGCAGAAAAGAGTCACTCTTGCTGTGATTTTTAATCACCATGAGCCATTAACCTACAGTTTAATTAGAGAAGTGGATTGTATCTTATTAACAAAACACCTAAAGCCTCACATTCAAAGAGCTGCAACCCACTTAAGAACAAACATAAGTATTTACAGGTGCTTACTAGAATAACCTGACTATTCTAACTGCCCTTCGACGTGCATAAAGTTTTTCAAAGCTCACATCATTAAACAAACAAGGTTACCTTTAAGAAGCTTAAGGCATCGAAGCAATCTTTATCTAACCCTGTTTTAGAAGTATTTGCTACAGAACTATATATTTTTGCTTAGAGCTTTAAAGAAATGAGGTGAGAGTTACTACTCTGGCATAACACCACAGCAACCTGCCACCAGCAGAGACATATCACACATCTCTAAGAGCCTCACGGCCCTTTAGAGGACAAGGGCCGTTACATCTCACGCAGCCCTTAACTCTTTGCCCATTCGACACGAACGACGCACGCTTACCGTATCCCAAACACTCTGTCTATCAGGAAGCCTCCAAAGAAACAGAGAATCACGTTGGGCCAGGAATACCAGGCATAGAGCGCCATGAACTGGGCTGTGTTCACCTTCATGTCCTGCATAAAGGAGGGAGAAAGGAATAACAATAATAACAGGGCGAAAGGCAACGGAGGGACAAGCACCCAAGAGAGGCGCTATGACTCTTAGCGCCGAGCCCGCTCTCCGGCTGCCTGGGAAGGGGCTACTCACCGCCTGCACCTGCGTCTGCAGGGCCGC